AGGGTTTCGATACCCGTGGTGGGCAGAGCACAGATAGCCCATTGTGTAGCTTTGTGCTTAACTTCCAACAAACAGTTTACGATTTTACATTTTATAAACAGTGGGTGTGCAGGTACAGCTTTGAAGAACCAAATAGTCCTTTGTTGATGAAATTTCGTTGAACGGACAGTAACTGCCTGTTGTAGAAACACAAGTGTAGAGAAAGACGTTTCGAAAGTCTTCCGCATTTCGTCTTCAGGCGAAAGACTTTCAAAACGTCATCCTCCACAACAAGCAGTTGCAGTCTATTCAACTAAATTTCATCATGAATATTCTGCCTAAACAACCTATCAAAGAACAGGCCCATGTTGTCTGTGTATTATGTTAACTCATATGTAAATCTCAGTTAAATCTTATTCCATCAACCCAACCTTCCCTAAATATGTATTCAATTTGGTAGTCTAATGCGACTTGGTTGTAGACAAATAGTAGGAAGAGGAGATGACTGTTTTATGAAATAAGTAAAAATAAACGACATGTACAGTTATCTAAGAATAAACGTTTTTAAATTTAATGTTTCGTTCACCTTTCCTTTTCTTTTTTTTTTAATATATAGATATATATATTACATTTGAGGTAGTGATGGATCTTCTAGTGCTTTGTGCATGAACTGAGTTTTTTTTTCTAGGCTTTATCGGCCGAAAGTTACTTTCGAAGAAAAGTGCGTGACTTAAACAAACAGTGGCGAAGAACATTCTTTTGTTTTCAAACAATGTCCTGAAAACAAACGGTAAGAAGTTTCGCTGTTTATCACCAGAAAAAAAAATCATTCACTGAAAGCACTATTGATCCAGTTTTTACACCATTGCTTTCACCATAATAGACTCCTTTATTATGAATTGTACTGCTTCTTTTTTTTTTTTCAGAGAAACTGATACATTCGAGAAAATCAGTCGTCGTTTTCTAGGTGCAATGCTTTATAAAGTCTATTCTGAAAAACAAGTGAGTTACTTGGACATAAAAATATAATTTTGTTTTCAGGTATAAATGAAAGAATGTTTATTTTAGAATATGTACGTGTTCTTTGTTTGTTGAAATCCAATATCATGTAATAAAAAAAGAAATCCGCACGGATCAATCGCTCGCTCCTAGTACCGGTTATCCTTCTGATACATTTCGTTTCAAAGATATTGATCACTTTCCGAGTCTCCAATAAACAAACAGATCAAAACAAAGTTCACTGAGTATTTCTCCAATGCTGAATTTTATTTTCTTCAAAAATATGCTCAACAAGTTTTTCGTTGAAATTCGTAGTTTTTATTTTTTAGTATGTACACATCAATCAAAAACGTCTGCAGAAAACTTTGTCACAGAATTATATGTAATGGGTTAAAAAACAAAAAGATCAATAACACGTGTTTAGGTATAGCTATAATTTTACTTACTTACTTTTCCTTCCTCTATCTACCATGAGGTGTAGAGGGAAAATGTAGGGACTTTTGATGTGCTCTATTCAGAGCTTCTTTAACGGTAATTCCATGGTGTTTAATGTTATCTATGATGTTTTGACTCCATCTCTGTCATGACACAAAAGACTGTTTAGTGTATATATTAGTAATTTATTTATTTTGTGAGTTAATATTTTGTGATTGTCTAGCTGAGAGTTAAAAGTAGACAATTGTTGGAAGTTGTATTATTAATTCATTGATGTCGCGTGAAATTTATGGATGCCGAGAATATATCGAGCAGACGATTAACTAATAAACATAAAGATAGTATGAGATGAGCGAGAAAAGTAGACAGACAGAGCAGACGAGAAGTAAAGTAAAGTTACGAGAAGGAATTCGGCCAAAGAAAAGTTAAACGCAAAGTTTATCATCTTAGGAGTGGAAGGCCTAACAATTAATATAGGCCTAAAGGTTGATATATTAGAGTGAGACTAAGGGTGTTGAAAGAGATAAGAATAATAGTTTATTTCGTCAAAGAGAGTTCTAGAGTAATTGAACTAGCCTCAGTGGACTTGGACAACTAGACAGACGATTCTCGAAAATACAAAGAGAGAAAAAGGAGCTGAAGATTTTAGAAGTATAGGATACAACCGTGGTAACTCGACGATAAAGTAAGTGATACTTGGGTAGTTCGGCGATAGTAATAGAGAAAAATAGTTCGGCTTGTCAACTGAAATTTTAAAGCAATTGAATAGGCCTAAGTGGACTTTTGACAACAAGAAGAGAACTATATAATGTTTATGATATACCTATGATCTGAATAGTGTAAAGAATTTGTTGTACATACGTTTAACTAGTTCCAAAGATATATATTGTTTTTAAATTAAAACAAGTGGAGTGAGTACTGTTTGTTGAATTTTGAATTTATCTCACACCTGTCTCAGCTGATATTACTTGGAAGGGTTTTGCTGTCCCTGCTTT